TATGAGGCACTGATGACACTTTATTGTGTCAGGTGTTTACCTATCATCATACTACCAATATAAACCTTGTTATAAAGGAGAATTAACGGCAGAACTTCTCCTCTGTAATGAAAGGCATTTTACTCACAGGCGCATTGGAATTAGTGGGTCACCACGGACATCAGCATTGCGTTCTGGAGTGCACAAAACATCCTGTCGCCTACTGCACATAAGTTGACACATCCTCCCAACAACTATAAACCTAACCGAAGTGAAGCCTCTCTACAAAGGAAAACCACACTTTCGAAATATTCAAAGCACTTAGAACATTTGTAAAAAGACTGCGCTCCTAAGTGCATCATCTATCTATTTGATTGCGGATAATGTGCAGAAGCAGGAGTAGTATGATGTAAAGTGGATGGCTTCCAAATTGAGCACTGGAAAATTGTCACTGGTGATTAACAAAGCAAATGGATAAGCAGGCTGCGTGTTAATGAAAAAGAGTACAGTGTAAAAAGACCATTTAAGATGAAGAAGTAAGCAATAGGAATAGAAGTGATTTGGGTGCTTTGACATCATGGATATCAGGAGCTGGTAGATCTCGAACACCATCATCTTGAATTTGGTTGCATGAATGGTTAAGTAATATCACGAATAGACAGAGAATAACCAAAACGGCAAAGACCAAGTTAAAGCCGCCATCATTTGAGAAGAGGAACCTGAAACAATACAAAAGGAAAATGAAACAAAATGAACTATGATCAGTGAATAGAAAAAAAACAAGTTTAACAAAATTGCAAATATAAATTGATAGGAAAGGAAATACAGCAAGGGGTAAAGGATAAGAAAAGTCCTAATATGAAAGGATAGACTAGAAAGTGAAGATTAAATTCGAAATATACAAGGAATACCACAAAACGAGAAACAAAACGAGAATAAAGAAAATGGAGAGACAAATTAATGAGGAGGAAATGAGACATAAAACAGGAGAGAGAAGAACGTGCCCAAACTGGAAATGGAAGTTGGCGATGAAGAGGTAGGAGGAGACGTTTCTGTTGCAGTGGTGGCAGGCGTGGTGGTAGTAGTAGTACTAGAAGAGGAGGTCTCCGGTCTATAAAATATATTCCACGCTCTGCACTCCTTTGGAAAGTTTTCTATAAATGATGGAAATTTTGTGTATTTGCTGAAATATTATAATCTAGTTTGTTCATCACGTTTTGCAACATATTAGTCGAATTTTTCCAATCTCTAACATTTTTCTGACATATTACTATTCTATCAGGCATTCTTACCAAATATGATGATGGCAAGGAGAATTGCAAACAAGGGTTGCAGATTCCCCATTCTGAGTGATGTGAGAGACACTTTGTCATTCTACGTCCTCATATAGCTTAAGATGTGCAGCTTATTGGTGAATTGGACTGCTTTGAGGTGCTTCTGAATGGCATACCCATCGACGACGAGCGAATCACGAGAGCGCTCTTTCATCAACAGCCTTCATTTTCAAACACTGAGTCATGGGTTGACCGCCATTCCAACAAGTGGGTTCATTAATTGTGCAATCCCAACTCTTCTGCACGGTCTGCACTTGCCATACAACTTTGCAGCTTAAGAGACTGTTCTCTCGACAGTAATGCGTGAACTTGCAATACTAATTCGTTTTATAGCTGATTTTGTCATTGCTTCTTGGCAAATGCTGAGTATCTTCTAATTGTATTATATTTGATAAAAAGAATTTAATTACATTATTGATAACATATCAAAAATTTGTCAGTGTTATCGTCATTGAGACAATTTCTATGTACCGGTTTATCGCCATGTCCACTTTCTCTTAACTCGACTACCTCAATGCCAAGGCTACAATTACCATATTTTTGCATCAAATTAGATATCAAAGCCTATATATACACTTCTGTATATGCAAAAGTGAGGGAGAGGACATGCTCTGGGTTGAGTTACAAAGTTGTATCTTAATCAATTGTACAAACATTGCAAAATGTGATGGTGGAAAGGATACCGGTTAATAATCAGACTTGATTACATGCCACTAGTACCACATCTAGCCTGT